TACTGTGCTTTAACTCGCTGTGCCACCAGGGAGGGCCCCTGTGGAGGTGTTTTTGTGTTTGTTTCTGTTTTGTTTTTAGCTTGGCAGTAGCATACAGTTTGGCGTTTTGTTAGCTTTTTCCCTCAGGATGCTTCATTTTAGGGATGCCAATGTGGGAAGGAACTGCCTGGGGGTTACTTTCTTTAAGCTACTTCACCTTGCTGACTACTTACCAAAGGACACTGCTTCTCTAGGATGGCTGAGGTTGAACCAGGCCAGTGGTTAAGATTCTTGTCTATTAGAAGTGCCTCCTCAGTGTTAATGGAATAACTTCATATATTAGTGTTTGAAACATGTAAATTTCTTTGGCATCTCTAGAATGACTTGACCATATATTCCTTAAAATGAAGTCTGTACAGTTAGAATGAGATTATTGATGTTTATAATTCATGTTTAGGGAAATAAAGTAAAATTTTAAAGACATCAATGATTATCTTAATACCACTCTTTTTCTGCCCCTTATATATATTTTTAAAGATTTTTATGCAGGCCAGAGGTGTGTGGTGGGGGGTTGGGAGGGAGAGGATTCACCAGGGACAGAATGGGGAACAGAACAGGCTGACTGAAATACAATGCTGAAGGGAGCAGCAGGCAGGATAGGAGAGGTCTGTTGTGCCATGTGGGTCACCTCTCTGCCCGGGGATTGAACTTGTACTTTGGGTAGCTTTATAGTGCTGAGACTTAACCCCTTGTGCCAACAGAGAGGCATTGATTTTTATTTTTTGACACTTGTCAGCCACATTGTTCTTAAGTCTTGTATGGGTTCTTAACAGATTAAATATAGCTCATTTTTAGTGATTTCACCTGCTTTAGCTTTCTACTGATAGATTAGTAATATAAATACTTAGAATTTTGTGAGACTCAAATATTAAATCTATGACGTTCATAGATTTGATACTCAGTATGATTTTCTTAACACTACCAAAGATGCCCAAGGAAATGGAGTAATTATACATCCATCATAGTAACTTAACATTAATGATGGTAATTGTGTTTAGTTGAAAACTTTGGTGGTATTTAATTTACATTGTGCTGTCTTAGTAAAGACCCTATGTGCCACGTCTGGAATTCTGTTCTGTACAACACATAGCAGCACATCCTGGATTTGAACATCTCTAAGGTGTCTGTCAGAGAAACTTGTTTGAGTTCTGAGGAAAGCTGGTTCATGTCATCAACTACTTGGATTGCGTTGTCTAATGAGGACATGTGTCTTACCTTTGCTGACTCTAACCCAAGGAGGCACTCTGTGCTCTCAAGCTTTTTTGAGAACAGAGGACAAATTTGATCTTCAGAGGGCTGCATTCCAGTTGTTTTGGGAAGAATAAAGAAATAAACAATATCTGTGAGGTTTAAGCAGGCAAATCTACATAGAAGCATATTGGAGAACACATTTTTTAAAAAACACTATATTTGTTGGGTTTTTTTTTTTTTTGATTTTTATGTTTTATTTATGACAAATATTCCACATCCTTGGTCCTTCTCATTAGAAGTTCTTAGAGACAGTGCCATCTGCCTGGGCCAGTCAGAAAATGTAGTCATTGGATTTAACCCCTCCTGCGATGGCACCACAGATGGCATAGGTTGTAAACTGACCACTGAACCTGCTGTCACTTTGTTGGCCTCGCCAAGTACATCTAGATGGATGTGTAGTCCGTGGTGCAGATGAAGTGGTTGCTGGCTCAGCATTTTCAGGGCACTACAGGTCCAGGAACTCACCAAGTAGTTCTGCTTGATGAGAGTGTCAGGACTGATATTCTCTGTAGAGTTAGAGGTGTAGGGGTTGAATTCTCGTTGTGCCACTTACTGCTTCTGTGAAATTGGAATGTCATTTCACCTTTGAACTTCAATCCTCATCTGCTAAGGATGGATTATGATTACCTATTTACAAGAGTATTATATTGTGAAAATAAAATAATGGTAAAGCATCTCCAACAAAGGTTCATGATTGTTAGTTTCTTCCTTCCTGCTCTTTATTTGCTTTGTTTGATTATGTTTCTAGCATTATCATTTTTGTTCTTGTGTTCAAAAGTTCCCTGTACCCTCCACTCCCAGCTTCTTCATTACATCGTAAATGTAACATTTAAATTATTACATGACAGATTTTTGGAAAATCCAGCCCCAGAAAGGTAAGTAGCATGCCACACAGGCTGATTAAAAGTAAATATAGAACTAAAACATTGGCCTCAGAACCTCAAGCCTTTAGATCGTGCCAGGGCTTTTGGTAATTGTTTTATGAAGCATGTGGACATGTAAGTTTTTATACTAGCTCTTAAACTATAAGCCTTTGGAGAAATAGCTTGTAAAGTAAAGCTCCAAGTAATTTAGCAGTAGGTACATCCAATTTATGTAATAAACTATCATTATGAAAATTAACTTTGTTTTTTCTAAGTAGATTACCAGCCCTTAGGGCAGACTTACCTTAAACTGATTAATTATTTCATAATAAGTACACTGCTGTCAGGAAATTGTATGATTTTGAATGGTAATATCCCTATGTTGTAATTTGAATGTTGTTCATCTTACATTTTTAGCTAATTTATTTATACCCCCCTTTTTAAATTTATTTCAAACTTAATTCCATATTATGTATGACATTAAATTTTGAAGACTAACTTTCGTATGACTCATTTTTGAGGAAATTATGCCCTGGATTATAGACATATACACTGTTTCACTTCTTGTGTCTCCATTCCTTTCTATTTTGTAAGAGGCATAGCCAAGCCATCTTTTGGGGGGAGGGGAGAGCATTTCTGTTACTTCAAAAAGCATTTAAGGATGTACCATACAAAGAATGCTTACAAATAAAGAACAACAGTCCCTGTGTGTATCTTGGTATTGGGTGTCATGTGTGAACAGCACGTGAGTGGGGAGATCCTACATTTCTAATACACAAGCAATGATGTAGACACACAATATAAGTCTAGTAAAAAATGGGACTTTATATAAAAGGATGGCGCATAGGCTCTTAAACAGGAGGCAAATAGCTGAAGAGTGCAGACACTGGCTCTGGATTATGTGGCATCAGGTCCTGACCCTGCCATGTAATAGTTTGAGCAAATTCTTAAAATCTTTGTAAAGTAACGATTATGTCATTACTTGGGATATAGTGCTCATGAAATGCTATTGTGCTTATTGTTATTATTTTTGGGTTGTTGGAAAAGTCATTTTGCCTTGTTACTTGAAAAACATAGAAAAAATACGTCACTACTTTTCCAATAATCCAATAAAATAATGTCCATCCTCACTCATCGTAGAAAATTCAAGTCTAATCAGAACAGATACCTGAAAGGGTGTAGGTAAGTGGATGTTGCCCTGACAGTTTGTACATTGGTATCTCTTCAGTAGAGGATAATTTGAAATAGCTTCTAAAGATAAACTATTCCATTTTTACATTTATATGTATATGTAAAAAGACATGCATATACCACAATATATGCAAACAGTAATAGGATTGTTCATAGTAGCAAAAGATTAGAAGTGATTTAAATGTCTCTTGGTAGAAACAGGTAATTTTGTTACATGATGGAATGCTGTATAGTGAAGAGAAATGACGTAGGCCTACTGTGCTAATAAAGAGTGATGCCCCGTAAGTCCTGCTGGGGGGCAGGGAAATGTCTGCACACATAGTGCTAGTAAGCGTATATTATCTCCAGCATTAGAAACAGCTGAAAACAGTGGTTGCCTGGGAGAGGGTCAGGGAAGGTTGGTTGGGAGACTTACTTTCCTATGAAATTTAAGGTATATCAACTGTTAGTTATTACCCTCTCCCAAGTCCTTTACCTGTTGCCACCAACACATGTACATGTGTGTACACATGTACAAGCACACACTTTAGAACATTCAGATGCGTCCTTAGAGGGAGGGTGTGCTGTCAGAAAATAGCCTGTCCTGGTGGTGTCATTCAAGGTAGCATTGATGAGAAAAATCTCCCTGGATGGCAGATGCCAAGGCCTTGGCTGGGCCTGCACAAACCCAAAGCCCTCTCTGTAGGTGCTTTTGAAAGTGCTGGTGCCAGAAAGACTTTGTCTTGAGCCTTCCTCTCGGCTATTTTTAGAGGTCTGAGAAGAGGGTGAATCGGAAGGAACTTCTAGAGCTCTGAGCCTCACTAGGAAACCTTGGTTGCATTTATCAATTGTTTGGTTCTATTTCAGTTCCAGAGTTGGGAGGCAGAATGGAAATTCACTTGGCATGGTAGGGTGCTTTGTGTTTGTGCAGTCCCCTAAATTTTGAGACATACTTTCCAAACTAGAAGAATTAGAACTATGACCAGGATTCTTTGTGTAAAACTTTTAAGTATATCAAGTTTAGATTTCTTATGGAAATTGATACATCTCTTTGCTTTAAACAGGGTACTATTTAGCTAATTGTTATTTGCCTGAAAGCTGTAGTCATCAGCTCTAATCCTAGAATTTGGGTGAATTTGTCTTTCCCTTATTCTTATGATAACTTTTCTCAGTGTGAAGTGAAATATGGTCTGTATCCAGATAGGAACTGTGGTGATGTAAATTAAGAACCGAGTACAATATTTCTTTTCATAGCTTCATTGTAGTAATTCTAGTAATTCTTAGTGCATTTAAATATTTTTACCTCTCGACAATCTGAGGGATGTCCCATTCCCATCATTAGACAAACAGCGGACTACTGTGGCAGTGACGTCTACCACAGATGGCAGTCTTTCAGTGCATCCTGAGGGTGGTAGTAGAGGGTAAAAAGGTGGACATAATCTGATTTATCACCCTTACATCTTGTTAAGAATTAGCTCTCTTAGACAAACTAATGTCACCTTTTTTATACTAATACCCTGGGGGGAAATACCTGAGAAGAAGACTTTTCATAAAGTCTGCATGTCTTTGCTCTGTTATCTGCCTTTGGTTGTGTGCCAGTTTGTATGTAGCAGATAAGCACTGAGTTGTCAGTGAGCAAGACAAGCAGTGGGTTCTAATGACTTTTCCCTCCCATTACAGGAGAAAGCCTTGGAACATTGCTGGAGAAAGTAAACCATCTCCTTAACCGAAGGTGGGTCGTTTATTCTGGGGTAGCTTTTATTGCCTGTTTGTTTGCTTAGTGGTGCTTACTTTTCAGTAGGAATCCTTTTTGCTTATTACAGCAGAAATGCCAGCTTATTTATAGGAATTGCTTACAGCCAGAGTCATGGTGGATGTAGGGAAGTGGCCAATCTTCACTCTGCTCTCACCTCAAGAAATTGCATCTATTCGGAAAGCATGTGTTTTTGGCACCTCAGCTAATGAAGCCCTGTATGTTACTGACAATGATGAGGTAAGACTCAAAACCCAGAGTTTAATTTTAGGACTTTTTTTTTTTTTAAGATTTATTTATTTATGCTGGGGTACAGGCCAGAGGTGCAGGGGCAGTGAGAGGATTCACCAGAGACAGAGTGGGGGCAGAACAGGCAGATCGATGAAGTACACTGCTGAGGGGAGCATCGGGCAGGTCAGGAGAGGTCTGTTGCACCATGTGGGTCACCTCTGGGGCCGGCACCACTAGGGAGGGCCATGGACTTATTTTGTAGTTGGGCTTTGAGGTGGATAGCTTACAGAATGAGAGAAGATGGACATTAAAAAATACTTGAAATTCAGTGTCTTTGATGTGACATCTCTCTCAAGTTCTTGATTTAATACTCTCTAATCTTTGAATTTCACAACATAGTCAGATATTTTAAAACCTAACTAATGTCAGCGAAGGTTGAATCTTTAGCAACTTGTCAATCTACTGTGGTATCAAACTGAACTTTAGTGTGTTTTATTTTCAGAGAAAGTTAAAACAAGACTCTGAACTATTTGTTTTCTAGGTCTTTGTATTTGGATTGAACTATAGTAACTGTCTAGGAACTGGAGATAATCAGAGTACTCTGGTCCCCAAAAAGCTAGAAGCCTTATGTGGAAAGAAGATTAAAAGCCTTAGTTATGGAAGTGGACCACATGTTCTTCTCAGCACTGAAGGTAAAGAGGGAACAAAGCTAACTTTCAGTTTGTGAGAATTGAGCACAAAATTCTGACCTTGGCGGGGGGTGGTGGTGGGAGGATGCATGGCCATATCAAATATAATTTTTTGATGTCTAAGGGAAGACTATAAAACAAGCAAAAGCTAAACATTTTCAGATTAATTCTGAAACATAGGTAGGATGAATTGTCAATAAAGCATGTTTCTGAGGTTTTAGATTACTGAAGTTGTGGAAAGTTAGCTATAGCAAACAGGCTGGGGTGACAGGAACCAGACTCCACTCTCATCTGTGCACATTAAGTACTGCAACTCCTGGCTTGCCATGGACCTGACTTCCTGAGTGGGTTGGGGAAGGGAGAGGCAGTGTTGCAGAATGGCCTGTTGAACTTAAAACACACAACACGAGCGTTACCATCTCTCTTTTCTGGATTTAGTGCTTTGGCAGGCAGCACAATCCCACTCCCTGGGGAGGCTGTGGCAGCCTTGACCTTATGATGGATTCAGCTTGGGTAGTGCATTTGGAACTCTGGTTCTCGCCTCTCCCAGCCCTGTGGGGCCTATGCATTCTCTTGCTTGTTTTTCATGTTGGGAGCTGCCTTGGATTTGTTCGGCTAGAAACTTGCTCTTGGGCCATGGCTGCCCCTATTTATGGACCCTGTTTGTTTGGCTGAACATTTATTTGCTTATCAGGAGATAGTTGATTTCAGAATCTGATAGAGTTTATATTTTGAAATCTTACTCTCCTCTGCTTTTCTTCCCTTTCCATTCCCTTTGAGCCTCTCATCAATTAGGAATCTTTGAGCACACCAAGTTTGAGTACTTTGATTTTGTGTGCATGGTTAGGCATGAATCTTTAGAATGGACAACATGGGTTTTTCCTCTTAACTATTTGAAAGCCCTGTTCACCTCCCGGTTTTTGCCTGGCATCATTTTCAGCAGATTTGTGGTAGCAAGGCAACTTTCAGTTTTCACTTGGTACATTTTTATAACACAGGTAATAGTGGTTTTCATTTCTCTGCATGCCATTCTTAAATCTGGAATTCAAGAAATCTTAGTTTATCCTGGAATTCATGTAGTTATCATAAGAAAAGGATGTAAGATTCATACAGCTTACCACACTGCACCTGCTGCCAGGGCGCTGAGGTGCTCTGCCATAGTCCATTGGGCCCCACTTTGCTGTCCCCCATCTTCCTGTCCCTCTGGAATTTCAGTTCCACAGTCAGATTTCTAGGGTTTATTATTGCCTTGGTTTTCCTGAGGCTTTGTTTTGTTTCTCTGTATTCCACCTATTACTAATACTATTTAGTATTTGTCCTTCGCCTTCTGACTTAACTTTGCTTAGCATTACCACCTCCAGTTCTACTCTTTTACAAATCTTTTTTTTTTTTTAAAGATTTATTTATTTATTCGTACAGAACTGGGATACAGGCCAGAGATGCGGAGGGTGAGAGGATTCACCAGAGACAGAGTGGGGAGAAGAACAGGCAGACACTGCTGAGGGGAGCAATGGGCGAGACAGGAGAGGTCTGCTGTACCATGTGGATCACCTCCCTGGCAGGGATCGAACTCACGCTGAAGCAGCTGTGGCTAGCTTCATAGTATTGGGCTTTAACCCCTTGCGCCACCAAGGAGGGCCAGGACAGGTGTCTTTTTGAATTACCGAGCTAGCTGCCAGCAACCCAAGGTGTGTCACTCAACTCTTTCACTGTTCTTTGTATTAGTTGGTGTTCAACTGTCTTTGGTGGGTGAGGAACCCAGGGAAATCCAAGGAGAACCCAAGGACTCCCAGGTGGGGAAAGAATGGGTTCTTTTTCAGTTAGCTGCCAGGTAAGTCAGATCCATGTCTTTCCGGCTGCTGGTTTTCCTTATGGTGATGGAGCTCACACAACTGTAGTGAGCTAGGATCTGAAGGGAGTAGGGGCTGTTTTATAGCTAGTATAGTCTGCAGCATGGTACTCTAGGAACAAATGTTCCTGCTTTTCTTCGAGGTGTGGAGGGGGGGCTCCATCTGCCTTTCCAACCAATGAAAGTCGGCATGGATTCAATGTCTGATCACAGCTCCCAAATTGTGGATGGGTTGTAGGTCTTCCCCACCTCTGTAGTAGATCTAGAGATATATGTCCCCCAGATCAGGATCCCTCTCTGCTTGTTCCCAGCAGAATGGCAGCAGCTTCACACCCAAATCTGCATGTACGACTCCTTCCTCCCATGACCTTTCAGTGCTATTGGAGGTGGAGCATTGAGGAGCTGGGGGGAGGTTGGTCACCCACCTTTAAGAATTCAGTTATGTGGGTAATCTAGTGTCCTGTGATAAGTTGGTGTGAAATGTATGAGACATTAAACTGTCTTCTGAGATCATTAGGGAGATAACTGATGTGGCTTACTCTACCATGTTTACTGGGTATGTCCCTCAATTTTGATTAGTGTACATTTTATTACTATACATACACATCTGTGTATAATACATACATTTGTGTGCATATATAGATATGTATTGCAAACAATAAAATAGTTTTAAAACAATTTGACACTTGAAACTCTCAAATAACAGATATGGTTTTTGGTAAAAGACAGAAGGACCTCGGCCTCACCTTTTTTACTCTTTGAAATTGTTGTTGAGAAGGAATCACTTTTTTTTTTGAGGTAACATTGGTTTTTGCAACATTGCACGTGACTTGAAAGGCACCTCCTCAGATGCATGTCACCTGTCCCCTACTCCTAAGGACCCTTAGCTCTCCACAGTAGTCCATTGTGCACCTTCTCCCTCCTGATCTTGTAGCCTCAATTCTACAGTCAGGTGTCTGGGATTTACTATTGGTTTGGTTTTCTTTGGTCCTTTGTTTTGTTTTTCTATATTACGCATATATGTGAAATCATCTGTTATTTATTTTTCTCCTTATTTTGCTTAGCATTATCCCCTCCATGTTGCTGCTGATGGCAAGAGTTTATCTTTTTCTTTTTAAAGCCAAGTAGTATTCTGTTTTGTATAAATCTCATTTTTGTACAATACTCCTCTGTTCTTGGACACCTAGGTTGTTTCCACAGCTCCAAAGAGCATAGGAGAACATATTTACCTTTGAATTAAAGTTTTTGCATTCCTCAGGTAGACATCTAGGACTAGACTTGCTGGATCATATGGTAGATCTACTTTTAATATTTCAAAACATTTCCATACACTGTCTTTCTTAGGTGATAGACTAGTCTGTATTCCCACCAGCAGTGTGTGAAGGTGCCTATTGCTATACATCTCAATCAACATTTGTTTATGATCTTTTTGATTGGTGCCATTCACAAGATGTGAGGTGGTATCACATTAGTTTTGATTTGCTTTTTCCTGATAAATGATGATAAACATTTTTTAATGTGCTTGTTGTCCAGCTGTATGTTTTCCTTGGAGAGGTGCTTATTAACTCTTATGTCCATTTTTTCATTGAGTTATTTCGCTTTTTGTTGAGGGCATGGTTTCTTTATATACCTTGGATATTAATTAACCCTTTCTCAGATGTATGAGGTGCATATATTTTCTGCCACTCAGAAAGGTGTCTTTTTGTTTTACTAATCATTTTTTTATTGTGCAGAAAATTTTTGGTTTAATGGAGTCCCATTTGTTTCTTCTTTTTTTTTTTTTTAAAGATTTATTTATTAATGCATACAGAACTAGGGTACAGGCCAGAGGTGCAAGGGCAGTGAGAGGATTGAGAGGCAGTGAGAGACAGAGTGGGGAGCAGTGGGTGGGTCAGGAGAGGTCTGCGGATCACCTCTGGGGTCAGGGATCAAATTTGCACTGACGTGACTGCCGCCAGCTTGCAGTGCTGTGTCCTTACCCGTTGCTCCACCAGGGAGGGTCGTGTTTCTGTCTTTTTAAAAAATATTTATTTATGCATAGAAGAACAGGGGGAGGGTTTGGGGAGAGAGAGGATTCACCAGAGACAGATGTGAAGGGAACAGACAGATTTGCATGCTTAAGGGGAGCAGTAGTGGGAGAGATAGGAGAGGCCTGCTGTGCTATATGTGGGTTAGCTCCCTGGCTAGGAATTGAACTTAGGCTGTAGTGATGATAGTGCTGAGACTTAACTCCGAAGCCACCAGGGAGGCCTCTACTTTTTTTTTTCTTGCCATTTGTGATAAATCCACAAAAACATCACTAAAGATAGTATATGGAAATGTTTTGATGTGGAGTGTTTTGCCTATGTTATCTTCAGCATATTTTATGGTTTTGGATCTTATGTCTATGTCTTTAATACATATTGAGTTAGTTTTTGTGTAAGGAGTGGGATGGTGATCTAGTTTCATTCTTTTCATCTGGCTGTCCATTTTCCTTAAAAGCATTTGTTGATGAGACTTCCTTTTCTTGACTCCTTTGTCATAAATAATTGTGCATGGTTGAGTTTATTTGTGGGCTCTCAGATCTAGTCTACTGGTCTGTGTGTCCATTTTAATTATTGTAGGTTTGTAGTATAGTCTGAAGTCTGAGTGTGATATCACTACTTTTCCTCTTTTAGGTCAGGATTGTTTTGGCTATTCAGGGTCTTTTGTGGTTCCAAATGAATTTTCAGCAATGTGTTTGCTCTGTTTTTTTGAAGAATGCCATTGGAACTTTGAAAGGAATTTTGTTCCATCTGTATATAGCTTTGGATAGTATGGCCATTTTAACAATGCTAATTGACATGGAATCTTTTAACTCTTTCAGCTGTTTAATATCACATGTCTAAATTAACATATTAATACTGCTATTTCTGAATTTTCAATGTGGGTACTCCAACTTTTTTATATATATACATATATATATATATATAGAAGCACTTGTGGAATTTAATAAACCCTTCTCCATGTGCTTTCATGCTACACCCATCCTTAATCTTCTCTGTGCTTTTGTACTAAAGAATTTGCCTTCATGTTGACAGGCTGTTTTGGGAGTTTTCACTTCCCAAGAACTTTGTGGTGGTAACCTGATTGCACTACATCATTGATAGGAGCTGTTCCAGTCTTCTTTTTGGCC